GAATCATCCAGTGGACTGGATCTGACCCATGGGATGCCAGTTGGGCCATGGTGTGTGGTTTTTTTTTTTTTTTTTAAATTCTGTGGCATCTAGTGCAGGTGTTGCATACATAGGTGACACACCATTGCTGTTCAAACCTATTGATAACACACACCTAATTCCAACAACTGAGACAGATTCACTTTCTCCAAAATGTTAAACGCATCCTGCCACCTTATTGCCTTCGTAGCATTATCCATCTCCCATTCGTTGAAGAGTCTGAGACAGCTCCCCCTCCTGACAGTCTGCCACTGACAGGGAAGAACAGATTTAACACTTCTAATAGTGGAAAATAACCCCCCCTCCTTTTTTTATTTTGTAATGGTTAGAGGAGGAGCTGTTTCAAGCCCTGAATCTCCTTTGCTGGTCCCCTTAATGACTGCTGTCACCACCTGCAGTTGCAGACATGTTGAGGAAGTTCTGACACGTACCCCTCCTGTGTAGTGTCCACCTGTGTGTTCTGATGGGAGGTAAGGGATTAGCAGGGCCGGCTCCAGCATTTTTGCCGCCCCAAGCGGCGGGGGGGGAAAAAAAGCTGCAATCGGCACTTCTACCACCGCCGCTTCATTCTTCAACGGCAATTCGGCTTGCTGCGCTGGTGGCTGGAGCCGGCCCTGGGGATTAGCAGCAGCTTCAGGAATGCTGCTGGGGAAAAACATTGAACCTAGGAGCTAGGACAGTCTTGTTACTAACCGAACGGCTTCTTTAATCATTTTGGATAGATTTGTTATAAGGCAGTGACCTCAAATCCTAGTATGGTGCTGCTACTTTGTGTTTGAGATTCTTATTGAGGAGACCAAATTGTCCTCTTGCTGTGCTCTTGTACAACACCCCGGCATGCACCATGGGTGGGGGAGGGGAATGGCACAAATCAAGGAAGAAATTCCCTGCACCAGCATTCCATAAACTAATTATTCACCTGACAATAGTCTGAACAGGGAAAGGGCAGCCAGGCTGGGGCCCTGAATGGGTCCTATTGTAATGGCTCTGCATGGGCTGAGCTGCTCATGCAAAGGTAAGCCCTTAGGCTAGGGGAAGGGAAAAGGCTCTTTCTGGGAGTGGCCAGTACCAGAACTGCTCAAGCAGGCAGGGGGTGACTTTAAAGAAAGCAGCAGGAATGAATAGCCAGAGAATAGGGAGATTTCTGGGCTGGGAGCTGCGGAGGAGTAATATGGATGGCTCCTCGGGTGAGCAGAGTTCTGTGCTCTGGAAAAGCCAAAACACCACCTCGCTATAAGCAGCACCCATTACTCTGCACCCTTCTGATGGGGATGGGTGGTGGAGAAAGGCATTAGTGGGAAACCTCTCATCTTACCACTGTTAGCATGTGTCTGAACAGAGCAAGGGAGTGAGTGAGGAGCATTTGGCTGGAGAGGGAAGGAGGGTGGGAGCCCTGCCAAAATGGTGAGGGAAGCATAAAGACAGCCAGAAGCATACAGCATGTGGTGTGTGTAGATACCAGCATTCATGCCCCTGTCTGTGGCACGTGCCCTCATGCACATACCTCTATATATCTTCACGTGTGAGCCTGCATGCAGAGGCCTGAGTGTACAAGTGTGCATGCAGGCAGAGACATAGACGTTTTTATTTCAGGGCCATCCAGACTGGCTCCAGCAGTGGCCAATACCTAATTCTCACCTTTCCCAGAATCCTTTCCTACTCCTACCCTCACTCCTGTTGTGCACCTGCTGTTCATTCACTACTGCTGCTCCTGTGGGGCCCTGGTGATTGCTTCCTGTCCAGTTCACACACTCTGCAGCTGGAGCTGTGATCTCCCTGATTGTCATCTCAGCTGCAGAGCTACAAATGTCATAAAATTCCCCAGCTCTGATTATGCTCCATGCAGTCTTGTCACACAGCTGCAAATTCCATCTGCCCTAGAGAAGAGTTTCTTCCAGCTGGTTAATTCCAGCAGCAGGGGAGCTCTGATTCTTATGTTATAGGACTGGGTCAAAAGAAAGGTCCTTACAGGGCTGGGAGTGGAGTTGGGTCCCCTGCTCGGTATTCTACAGAGGCCAGGTGGACTGTGTGCAGATGGGTGGGGTAAGGGACAGTGTCCTCTGTCTGACCTAATGGCAGAACTTTCCTACCCAGACCAGTGCTTGGAGCACTCTGCTGAACTCCGGAAGAAGCCATGTTCACTCAGCGGGGAGCCAGGACTCCTGAGGCTGAATGATGAGTGGAGTGAAGGAAGGAGGGTAACTTTGCCCCATCCCAGTTTTTCAGCTGGACTCTGGCTCTGCTTGCAATCCCTGCTGTCCTTTTTCTCTTCTTTTCTGTGGGGTAGTGAGCTCTTCACATGCAAACTGACCAGTGATCGCTCCAGGCTTGCTGTCCTGGTTCTGCACCTGCTGCTTAAGTGCTGGAGGCGGAAGGCAGGAGCTTTGCTGGTACGGGATGGATACTGCATAGCTAATGCTAGGGAGTAATTAGTCCTCTGGCCCCCCAGCCAGTGACCCCAGCAGCTTGAGGTGGGGAGGTGCCAATATAGCTAGCCAATAGGGGCTTCTGGGCTGAGCTGCCCTAGTCAGCCCATACACGCAGCTCGGTCAAGGCAGAGGTCTCATATAGGCATCCTAGCTTCACCAACTGGTGCAGAGGTGCTGGGAGTTGTGATCTCTCTCAATTGAAAGGAGGGGGAGCAAGTGGGGCCTTCTGCGGTGTCTCTTTCCATAGGAGGATCTCAAAGCCCCTCACACACATTAAATATGGAAACCTCACAACCCCCATGGCTATTATAGCCAGTTATATGAGAGTAAACTGGTATCCAGAGGTGAAGTAGCTCACCCTGGGACCCAAGCAGGGCCAGTGGCAGAGCCAGGAGTCCTGAATCTCAGCCCCCTAGTCTGACCACTGGATCCCACTCCTTCCCAGGTCGGGGCCTAGAAGCCAGGACTGCCAACTCACCTGTCCATGTTTTAACCCCTAGATAACACTTCCTTCTCAAAGGTGGTGGTGGGGAGCAGAGAAAGTCTGACTCCTCTGGCACAGTGGAACTCTACAGTGAGGGTAACACTCAGCTGGAGGCCAGTTTGAGACTGGAATGAACTCCCACAGGCGCTAGAGACCATCACAAACCTCACTACCTTTTGCTCCAAGTGCAAGGTGCCTTTTGTTGACCTTGCCTTCTCTAACATAAATACGGAGCAACAGGTATAGTAAAAATAAAACCCTTCCAAAACAAAACACTCCACTATAGGTGCATCTCCTCCAAGGATAGGATGAGAGAACAAACTACACACGATGCATCTGAAGAAGTGGGGTTTTTTACCCATGAAAGCTTATGCCCAAATAAATCTGTTAGTCTTTAAGGTGCCACCAGACTCCTTGTTACACACAACAGACTCATGCTCGGCATAGCACTTAATGCACTACTGGAAGGTGTTCAGATCTGTGGTGATGAGTGCAACATAGGAACCTATACAGCAAAGACTTCAGGCTCTCTGCTCTAATCGGTAGCTGATGCGCCCTGTGTCCCCATGTCTCTGATGACTTGCAGCAAGGAAAGAAGCCCTGCTGGTGTGTCTGCAAGGAACAGTGCTGCTCCTATCTCAGCCCAGAAGGATGCAGCCGCTCATGTACTATGTGGGGGTAGGGCAGCCCCAGCCCCCTCCCTGGTGCCCAGGAATGGGCTGCACATAAAGAAGCTATTAAGGAGCAATTGCATGTTTGAACTGGGATTTCATAAGGACAAGTAAGAGCCGCTTGGAGGTAAATGTCTTCCCTGGGGCAGTGATCTGTGCACATGTGGAGGCCCGGCCCAGCCCGGCAGGTATGCATTGCATTTGGAGGAGATGATATCTTTCTGGCTGGCAGGTGTGTGCTTGCTGGCTATGGTTTTACTAGTGCCTCTCACTCCACCCACCCACTCCCCTTCCTACCTCCTGTGCATCCTCCCAGCTGCTCTTCTGAAATGCAAAGTGGGGAGAGGGGCAGGTAGTGTCCGTGCATCCTGGGGAGAGACGCAAGCCTGGCTTTCTTTCTGTAACCCTGGAGGCGGAGCAGGAGAGAAGTTGCAGGTACAGGCAGCCTCCGCATAGCTAGCATTCTGTTCCAAGCGTGGGCTCTTCAGATGGGCCCCCTCCTCCTCTGCACAAGGAAAACCTGATCACTTCAGGTTCCCCGTGCAGTTTAGTGTGCCAGGTTTTCCCACTATTCCTGGGCTGTCCGGGAGCTATTCTCCCTTTCTCGGGGTGTTTGGGGCAGTGCTTTTTGCGCATTCAATTTAAATATAACTGGAGGCCCTACGGGAGCTAAGACTCTGCCCTGCACCCCTTCCCCCGTCTTCCCTGTCTCCCTATGCTCCACATCCGAGCTCAGCCCTACCCTGAGGCACTGCAGGTGCTCCCCTCCTCCCCTGCCTGGCTCAGCCCTGCCCTCCACAGCTGGGTTACTGGGGTTCCCCTTTTTCCCTCCGCCCTTCCAGCTGAGGGTCTCCGAGCACTTTGTAAATGCTCATTTAATGAATCCTCCCCCTTCCCATGAGAGGTGGGTAACACGAGCCCTACAGTGCAGACGGGGAAATGGAGGTCACAGGGACAGAGCTGGGAACAGAGCCCCGGCAGCCTGATGCCCCCAGGCCCCTGCTCTAGCCACTAGCCCGCACCGCCTTTCCAAGCACTAGGGAGCCTGGCGCAGCACTGGGCGCTGATCCGGCCCTGGCGGGCTGCGCTCCGCTCCCCTCTCATTGGAGCTTCAGGGCTGTCCCAGCCGTCCCCTCTGCAAACATTTGCTCCAGCCAGGTGCCCGGGCGGGTGATTTTTCCCTGCGCAAAACCCCGCCCGCGGAGAGGGAGGAGACGTTTGAGTCAAGGTAGCGGGTGAGTGGGCGGGGCTTGGAAGGCAGATACTGGAACTAACTTTGGGCAAATCCGGGTGCGCAGCAGGCTCCTGGCGCGGGGGCTCGTTAAGCAGAAAGTGAACTTAATCTCTTGGTTGGTTTGTTCTTTCTTCCCCCGTTAGGGCGGGAGAGCCGGGGCTGCAAGAACCAGGAGGGGGAAAGTGGCTGGTCTGAAAGGGCGGAGTGGGAAAGGAAGCCCCAGCAAGGAGCCGCACCAGCCCCACACGGCACGCTAGGCTGGGATGACGAGAGGGGAAAGCCAGGTAAGGAGATCTCGGCCAGTGGGGAACCGGGGGGGGGGGGGGGGGGCTCTGGGGGGGGGGGCGATGGGGTTGGGGGGAGGCAGGGAGGTTGTGAGAGCGAGTGGTGAATGGGGCAGGGCATGGCGGGAGGGAATTAGTGGAGGTGTTGGAGTGATAGCTGTTGCTCCGTGGAGGGAGCTGTGTGAGCCGGGAACATTTCTGGCTAGAAGGGTAACTTAGAAGAGAAGTTGCAGACTCTTCTTTGCCGTGCTCCGTGGCTGTCCCCTGTGCTGTCCCCAGGGCCAGGCTGTGAACAGGGAGTTATGCAATCTCTTTAGCAGACTCCCCTGCCCACCTCGCATTTCACCTTCACGATGGAGACAGCCAGCTGGAGATCACTGAGTGGGAATGGGAGTAGGTAAAGCTTCTCTCCTGAGTCTGGCCAGCCTCCCACTTGGCCTCATCCCCTGGGTGTCTCAGAGCTCTTTCTCCTCTGCCACCAGTCCCCACTGTGCCTTTCTGGTACGCTTGCCAAGCTGTTAATCCCAACGGGGACTAAATTTGGTGCTTTGAACAGCCCCATTTATCAGACCATTAAGGACAGCCACGTTGTCTGCAGCTGCCTGCTTGCTGTCATTGACCATTAAGCTTGGTGAGCAGTGATCTGGCATCCAGTGCCTGACACAATGGAGCTTGGGTGAAGGGCATCCCCCTGGTCCCAGGCCAGACAAGAGAGAAGGGAGGAGAATCATGGCATTGGAACAGAACAGAATAAAGGTGACTAAAGGGCAGCCCACGGACCTGTAGTATGTAGGAATTGGGTAGTATCTCTTTAAATAGTTTGTGAGCCCTCTAGTGGTCTTTACTGTCTCATGTGTTTCAGATTCTTGTGTGTGTGTGTGTACACACGTAGGTACACACAGAATCCTAGAAATGTAGGGCTGGAATGGATCTCAAGAGGTCAGCTAGTGATTCTAGTCCAGCCCCCTGCCAAATAGATCTAGACTATCCCTGACAGGTGTTTGTCCAAGCTGGTCTTAAAAACTTCCAATGATGGGGATTCCACAATCTCCCTTAGAAGTCTAGTCTGGACCTTAGCTACCCCTATAGTTAATTCCCCCCCCCCCCAATTATCTAACCTAAATTTCTGTTGCTGCAGATTAAGCCCATTACTTCTTGCCCTACCTTCAGTGGACATGAGGAACAATTTACTTCAGCTCTCTTTGCAACACCTCTTAACATATTTGAAGACTTATCAGGTTCAAACCCCTGCCCCCCACCCTCCACGCACAAAGTTTTTGTTTCTCCAGATGAAACATACCCAGTTTATTTAACCTTTCCTCATAGGTCAGGTTTTCTAAACTTTTTATCATTTTTGTTGTTCTACTCTGGACTATCTCTGATTTGTCCACAGAAAAAGTGTGGCACCCAGAGCTGGACACAATACTCCAGCTGAGGCATCACCAGAGCCAAGCTGAGCATGACAGTTACCTCCTGTGTCTTATATGTGACACTCCTGTTAATACATCCCAGAATATTATGGTTATTCGATCTCTATTGTGCCTGTGTAGTTCTTTCATATTGTGTTATGTAGAGAGCAAAAGACACAACAAGGCCAGACGAGGCCCTCAGAGATCTGCAGTGCAGCTGGTGTCCCTCTCTGTGTTTTGAGGGTGCAGCCTCCTAGAAACTACAAGTCTGAGCATGCCATGTACCCTCTTGCTCTGAGTGGTTGGCTGCATGGCACTCTGGGGAGCCTAGTCTCTGGGGGCTACACATGAGGACATCTGCAATCTGCTCCATTATATGTCCAATAGATTCAGCCCTTGGGCTTCTTGCATGTTGCTGACAGTCTTTGGCAAGGCAGAGTTTGATGTCCTTGGAGGAGAACCTAGAGCAGTGGTGGACAACCTGCAGCCCGCGGGCTGCACACGGCCTGTCAGGGTAATCCGCTGGCAGGCCACAAGACAGTGTTTACATTGACCGTCCGCAGGCACGGCCACCCGCAGCACCCAGTGGCCACAGTTCACCGTTCCCGGCCAATGGGAGCTACGGGAAATGGTGCGGTCCGCAGGGACGTGCTGGCTGTCGCTTCCCGCAGTTCCCGTTGGCCGGGAATGGCGAACTGCAGCCACTGGGAGCTGCAGGCAGCCGTGCCTGTGGACGGTCAATGCGAACACTGTCTCGTGGCCCGCCAGTGGATTATCCTGATGGGCTGCAGGTTGCTCACCACTGACCTAGAATCAGCTGCCTGGTATCCCAGAGCGGGCGGGGTGTTGCAACATGCTTGTTCTGTGGAGAAGCCACCAAGATCTTGGCTACCCTTGAGGCAGAGGCAGACTTCCTGCAGCCAAGTCACCACATTCCAAGTATTGCGTGGAAAGCTCCTCATTGCATGTGTACTTGTGCCTAGCGATATGTGATTGCCTCCCCAATGCCTGGAGGAATGGGTGACCTGCAGGAAAAGCCTTCAGCCTTCACACTGACGACCTGCTGTCTGTTGGGTTTAATTATTTGGGCTGTGTCACTGGGTGCCCATTACTGTCCCAGTGGAAGGAAGGAAAACAGCCCCCTGCTCCCTGCCCCACAGGAATTAAAGGCTCATCTGAAGCATCTGCACATCAATAGGCTTGGGGCTTTGAATAGGAGGCAAGTTCCCAATCCAGGCCCATTTAGTTGACTGGCAGGAGGGAGGCTATTGTTTGAATGGTCTCCAGATGTTGTGTATCTGAGGGCAGGGATCAGTTCTCTGTTATTTGCCAGCAAAGTCAGAGATGAAAAGTGGGCTGGGCCTGTGAGGGGGGTCTGGTTGGGCCAGCCTAATTGGGGGTGGGGGGTCAGCTTGGGCTTGTGGGGGCTGGACCTGTAGAGGAGTATGTGGGGGCGGGCTGGCCAGGCCTGTGGGATCTGAGCCTTTCTTGCATATTTCACTCTTTGCTCTGGAATTGAAATGTCTATTTTAAAGGCAAAATGTCTCTGCCCCTTGGTGCTGCGAGGAACTGGGGGCTGAACCTGTTCTCCTCCATGGAGTGAACAACTTTCTCTTTGCTGCTCTCCTTTCCTCTTCTTGGGTGAGAGAAGCACCCTCGGCAGCAGCTCCATGCCTCTCTGGGGTGTCTCCAGAGCTGGAAGCGGCTGGGATCTTAGGCAGCCATCACACAGGTGTCAATGACCACACAAGGTGCAAGGCAGAGGAGAACTTGGTCCCTGGGGTTCTGTAGGGAAAATGTTGGGAGGAGTAATGAGGGTTGAAGTTTCAGTGCTCTAAGGATCAAGCAGGGAAATGAGGGGAAGAAGAGGAACCAGCCACAGGTAGCTGTGGTGTTTGTCACGAGGTTTGGCTTATGGCCCTTGAGCCTAAGCAGAGGCCCCATCTAGTTGGTAACTGTCCCACAAGTCTGAAAATGAAGCATGCATCATTGGAGGCAGCAAGGCTTGGAGATTAGCTGAGCGAACAGTGGGGAGCTAAAGGGGGGAGAGGTGGGAGAGTCACATGAGAATCTCTGCCTCCCTCTAATACCTGCCAGTCATGGGTCAGAGGCGGGAGGGGCATGTGCTGCCAGAAGATCACAGTTGGAGGTGTGTGGGTGTGTGTGTGTGTGGAGGGGGAGGGAATTCCCTCTTTTATGGTCTCCCTGCTAGCAGCTGAATTTTCATTGTTTGGCTCCTTTTGATGTGTCCCTCCAGAAGTAGGGATGTCTCTTGGCTTTTCTCCCCCACCCTCCCTTGGCTAACTCTCTCATTCCCATGTTTCTCATGGCTGATTTATTTGCTTCCTGGGTAATACCTCTGCAGTGATGCCAGTGCTACTGGGGAGGCAGGGTAGTTTGCTGCAGTACATGGCCAATCTTTTATTTCTAACTATCCCAATCGTGACTCCCCTGAGGGCTTGGACAGGGCTGGTGTGCAGCAACTGTCTGTAGCACTTCCAGTTGCAAAGGTAACATTACAAACATGACTTGAGTGTAACTGATGCAGTGACATTTGCTTGAGACTTCAGACAGCCCGAAACAATAGACCTGAGAGGCATGAACTCAAGGGGCTGTTAACCCAACAATGACAATTTAACTCACCATTGTCAGCTGTTTCAGGGACAGGGCAGATGTATTGTGATCTGCACAGTATACTGAGCTGAGTGCCCCATTTTGCTCTCTCAAGTGGGTGGAGCTTTCCCCAAACCTCTGGTTTCCCCCTGGCTTGAAGCTGTTGTAAGGTGGGTCACCATCACAGTTTGACCTGTGACTTAGCGGGTGCCTGTTTATCTGTGCTGATCAGGCTCTGCCCTGGCACAGGCACTAGGGTAAGTGCAGCTCTCTGACCAGGGACAAGCCTCTGAGGAGCTGGGGGTTAAAGTGTGCTGCAAGAGGGCTCATGTGATGAGTGAAATGGGGGAAGGGGTGTCTCATTCTAGTTCCCTGAGAACATTTCTCTGCATCACTCACTTCCTCTCCCCACAGTGAAGCCCCGAGCTTCTCTGTGCAGGAGGCCAGGGGCTCCCTTTGGATCCTGGCAGTGCAGTGAGCAGCTGTCTGGGTGGTGCTGTGAGCTGTCAAGGGCTCTGCTGTCTCCCCACAGGGGCTGAACAGGCTGCTCCCACAGGACTTCTAGCCCTGGGGGCAGGACACTCAGACAGGGAACTGAAGCTGGATCCACTGCTTGGGCCTGTGGAACACAGCTCCCTGGGCTTGGACAAGTCTTTTCCGGCTCAGGCATGTAAAGGGGCTGCATGTCCCTTTAAGGTAGGAGCACTTGGCCCGTGACTCCCAGTCGAGCAGTCAGGATCTTTACTCCACACAATGCCAAACTTTGTTAGAGCAGGTAATCATCCACAGCCAGCAAGGGGAGGAGGGAGGTGTCTGGCTGTGAGTCCAGCCCCTATGTGGCCAGCTGGGAGCCAACCCAGGGATTGTCATGGTTTTGTTCCACAGGAGCAGGTCAGCTGGATGGAGGAGGTTGGGAAAGGAGCCAGAGTGCTGAGTTTTGGCTACTTGCTTCTCTCTGCTTGGGTAAGGATCCCAGGGCAGTGTGGCCTCGGGTGCCTTGTCCTTGAGTCCGGTATCTCGGGAATGGTTTTGGCTCCTCCAGACAGAGTGGGGGAGGGGAAATTTTGTTCTTTAACTCAAGGGCAGGTTTAATTAAACATCAGGTGACCTGGCAGTGGCTCAGAGCTCTGTGAGAGCAACTTACTAAACCCCAGCTTGTGCTCAGAAGCTGGCTGGGGGTTGGGATCTTGTGGGAGCCACAGGTTTAGGTCTCTGTGCTGCCTGCTGAGATTACTGAGGTGCAGTTGCTGGAAGTGCCCCAGCAGTAGGGCATCACTTTAACGCGTTCTGTAGGGATCAGTCTGGGAGGCAGTTTCTCTCTGATCGGATCTAGCCAGTTCCCAGTGACAGTCGTGGCCAAGGGGAGTGACACAAGGGGTGTAAGACATCATCCCACCTCTCCCTGCACACCTTTCTCAGGCCACCTCCTCACTGGCTTTGCAAGGTTGTGAGGGTGAGTGGATTCTCACTGGTGTCCCCATGTAGCAGCCCAATTTGTGGCATTCCAGGTGTTCACCGGAGTGGGTTTCTGTAGGTCCGTGCACTCCCTCTTCCCTGGCAGACTCAGCTTAGGTCCCTAGAATTCTGATGCCAGGTGTTGGGACCAGCCTGCTCCACACTTGTCCACTGACAGCTTCTCACCAGAGGATCCCCCCGTTTCCTGGAGGGTCCCTGGGGGCCTCTCCAGCACAGCACGGACACTTTGGGCCAGTCTGTGTCTGAAGGGATTTAAAGCTGTGGAATGTTACCTGTCAGTCTCTAAGTCGGCCTGGGGATCTGAGATCCCTCTCCTGTGCCCTGTAGGAGTGCTTCATCCTAGCTGGGGGGGCCCAGGTCAAACTTGTGGGAGCGTGTGGCAGAGTATTCCCAGGGGAGGGTCCTCTGCTTTGAAGTGCCATCAGAGTGCTGAGCATCCTGAGGAAGAGGAGGGAGCATGGCCTAGTGATTAGAAGAGGGCTCTGAGTCAGGAGTCAGATCTCAACTCAGCCAGCAACTCACTGCCTGTGCCTGGGTGAGTGCCGTCCCCTCTGTGTGCCATGGGGATGATGATCCTGATGCACCGTTGGGGGGCTGAGAGGTTGGATGAATGGAAATTTGTTGAGGTGCATTCATGGGGTGCTGGAGAAGGCAGAACAGTTGCTGCTGCAGAGCTGGAGCTGGATGTGGTCTGCAGTCTGGCTTCTCCTTAGCTAGGTCAGATTGTTGCTAGCTTTGGGGTAGCATTTTTCGGTCTCTGCTTAGTAACTGGTACTCACTCAGGTCCTGCAGTGCCAGCCTCAGTCTAATAATAATCAGGGACCAGGCAGGGTGCTGCATTGAACAGTAACAAGGGGTAAAGCCAGCAACGCTGGAGCCTTCATCAGTGGGTACAGGAGGCAGCGTCTCCAGACTCCTCTAGTCTGTAATGCCTGAGTGGGGTGAAGGGTGCCCTCTCCGCATGCCTGGGAGAGCTATGCTGGAGCTGAGCTGCCATCGTGGTTGCACAGCTGCTTCACCCAGAGACGCTGAGCAAGTGCCATCCTCTGTGCCCAGATGTTGGACTGAGATGGGCAGAGCCCTGAAGGCTTGTGCCTTGGCTGTGTCACTTCCATGTGCTTCTCCTCCATTGCAGGCTCTAGGATGCTGGGGCCAGCTAGGCTAGACCTGCCCACGTGATCCTCACTGCTTCCAGCCCTCGCCCTGCCTGCCCATCATGCTGTGCTCCTGGCGTGGAAAGCTGAAGCTGCTGCTCGCCACTGCAACGCTGGTGATCCTTCTCTCGTGGCTCTGTGTCTTTGTGGGCAGTTCAGAATGTGAGTGTGGCCTGGCTCTGGGTTGAGGTACGGCCCAGGACAGGGGAATGAGCGACAGCAGACAGCTGCCAGCCAGGGCTCTTGGCTTCTGGCTCTGCCACTAACTTGCTGTGGGCCCAGTCCTTCCCTCTCTCTGCCTCAATTTCCTCATCTGCTGTAACATGGGGTGATGCCCCTGCCCTGTCTCTGGGGGACTTGTGAGGACAAGTACATCACTGTGTATAAAGCATTATGGGTGGAGGTGGAGCTAGGAGAGGGGCTTAGAGATGGACACGGGGGCTGGGATCCAAAAAGGTTGCAAGGCTGAGCATCACAGGTGCTTAACTTCTAGGTGTGTAGAAAATCACAGGAACAACACTGTGATCTACAAAGCCTGGGCTAGGCACCTAGGCTCCCTATGCAAGAGCTGGGGAGAGCTGGGTACCTTACAATTGGCTCCACAAAAGCCAGCATGCTAGGCTGGGAGCCACCTCAGCTAGCCAGTGGGAGATGCTGATGAGAGAGGTGCACTAAGCCCCAACCTCCCACAGAGATAGGTGCCTGGGCTGGGCTGCAGGGAGGTCCTATCTCTGCCTGTGATCCAAACCGGGGGAAGATAGGTGCTCCTGTGCCTCACTGGTGTGTGGGGCCTGATTCAATAGGCCTGCTCAGGGGTCACCTAATTCCACTTAAAACAGCAGGGGGGAGGGAGCGGAGGACGTGCTCCCTCATAACCTGGTTGGGTGCTCATCTGGGACGTGGGAGACCCCTGGTTCGAAACCCCCCTCTGCCTGAAGAGGAGAAGCGATTTGAACAGGGATCTGCCACTTCTCAGGTGAATGCTCTAACCAGTGAGAGAGAGAGTGATTCTCACTCTCTCTGGCCCAATTAATGTTTGTTTAAAGTGGATTAACTTCAATAGCAGAGATTGAGGGAGATGCACATCAGAATATTTCCCACCCCCCACAAGCTGTTGGTTGGAGTTAGGTAGCCTCTGAGCCTCTACTGGATCAGGCTGTGCATGTGATGCAGGTGGCCCAGTGCCTGGTTTGTGAATAGTCAGGTGTCCGGAGCCTAGAGGGAGGCAGCTATGCACATGCCTCTGTGGGGATTTGGGGCATTCTTTCTCCACAAATGGCTGTCCCCAGCCACCGGTGCCACTCCCATATTATCCCCCTCCCTCCCCATGCCCTACACTCACTGTGGCTTTGGGATGCTCTCTCCCCACACATGGCCAACTGTTCTCTCTTCTCCCTCCCCATTTCCATGCTCAGGGGGCAGTGCATGGGGTGCTGTCCCACCATGTCCCAAGATGTGAACTCTCAGTGATTTGGGGGGCTCTCTCCCCACAGATGGCCGTTCCCTCCTATTGTCTCCTTGTTTTGGGGACCGGCCGAGCCAGGACCTGGAGCGAGAGGCCTTGGCATCTCAGGTGCGCAAGGTGGAAGAGGAGAACCTGCAACTACGTCTGCGGCTCAGCCAGTCTCAGGGACAAGCTGGGGCTGTGGACCGGAGCGATGGCAGCCAGCAGTGGGCAGCCTCCTTTGATGATGGGGACACCCCAGGGGATGACAGGAGCAACCGCACGGGTTGCCCCAAGCAGCAGATGGTGCAGAAGTGTGAGGTGAGCTAGTACAGCCCGGCTTCATGGCGCTGTCCTGCACATATGGCCGATGACACCGGTTGCTGAGGGTCCCCATGGCCTAGGGTGATGGCCTGAGTCCCTAGATTCAACCGCCTCTGTACAGCTGCCCAAGTGCACTGGCCATGCCAGGGCCTCCCCCTTGCGTCTGCTTTGTTCATGTCTCAAACACTTGGGCATTTTATTTGGAGTTAAGGGTGTGATGCTGACAGCCAAAAGAATGATCCCTTCTTGCCTCCCGCTGGGAGATGTTAGTGCCCCACCTCAGTGCCTCAACGTGTGTGAGCATACAGGTGGGGAGGCAGCACCAGGACTCCTGGGTTCTCTTCCCAGCTCTGCCACTGACCTGTTGTGTGATCTGGGTCAAGTCCTTCCTCGCTCTCTGCCTCAGTTTCTCCATCTATCACCTATAGGTAATGACTCTGACCTGCGTCCCTGGGGGGCTGGGTTGCTGAGGCTGTTTCTGTGTGAGATGTGCTGTGTGAGGTGAGATGGGCAGGTAGGAGAACTGCCTGACCAGAATGTTACGCAGCCGCTATCGCCATCTGCCTTGGGAGGAGAGGACTCTAATCAGCGCCAAGATCCTGGGGTGGGGGGATGATACTATAAAGTGTTATTGCCCCAGAGGCTGCTGCATGCTAGACAACCCTTGCCCCAGGGGTGCTGCTTTGGGCAGGGCTGACGGTGCCTTCTGTCTCTGGGCAGCTCCTGCACGTAGCGATTGTGTGCGCTGGTCACAATGCGAGCCGAGACGTGGTCACCCTGGTGAAATCCATCCTCTTCCACAGGTAACCCAGGTGGCCGTGCTGGGGGAGCCTGTGCTACGTTATGCTAATTTATACAGGTTCTTACACTGCACTTACCCTGTCTTCAGGGGCTGGTGGGTTTCTGTCTGCATTTTCAACCCATGTGTTTTGGGGGTTCAGGTAAAATGGGGATCAGATATGAACCACTCCTGCAGCTTGGCTCCCCAGTCACAGAGCAATGTGGGAAGGGGAGGTGTGCAGCTGGGAAGCCCAGGCTGTGGTGGTGGTGGGGAACTTAACCTGTCCCTCCTCCCCAGTCACAACTCCCAGGATCCTGTGTTACTGTGACCAGTGTTTGAGGGTCCCATGTGAAGGGGGCTGTGCTGTCTGGGTAGGGGCTGAGTGAGGTGGGGGGTGGTGAAGGTGCTCTGGGTCCCACCTATCATCTGCTGGAGGGTGTGGATGGGTCTGTCCCAGGTTGACCCTGGCTCAGGATGGGGCATCTTCTCCCGGATACCACCAGCTTTGGTGGTGGAGGAAGCTGTCCTGGGCTCAGTGGATCAGGCGGGATCTCTGACAGCTGCCTGCGTTTCCCCCTGGCAGGAAGAACCCTCTCCATTTCCACCTCATCACGGACTCGGTGGCTCAGCAGATCCTGCAGACTCTCTTCCAGTCCTGGATGGTGCCCTCCATCCACGTTAGCTTCTACAACGCAGACGATTTGAAGGCAGGAGCCCCAGATCCCTTCCTCCCCCCACTGTTCCTCTCCCCCCTTTCTCAGCTTCTCTTTCCAGACTCAGTATTCCAGGGAAGTGAGCAGCCCCTCAGGGAGGTGAGGGGGTGGGGGATGGTAGAGAGAGTTCACCAGACTATTAACTCTTTTGCTGCTGGCCCCTCTCTCATCTGCTCATCTTCTGGTGTCTATTACCATTTGACTGATACGGGGGCACTTGGTTGGTGTGGGGGTTGTGAAGGGGCCTTTCTCCTCCACTTTGGCTCTGGTCTGTAGTAGCTGAAAGCTGCTCCCTTCTGCGAGTTCCCAGGTGGTTTCTGTATGAAGGAGCTTTCTGTATGGCAAGTCTCAGACCCATTCCTAGCAAGCACATGTCAAAATGACACAAACACTAGCCCAGGTGATGCTAACTGGTCCCCTGGTTGGCAATCACCTCAGAGAGCCAGGTGTAACTGGGCCATGCACTCTCACCTAGAGACGGCCCCTCCAAAGCAAGGTGGGACTCATTAGCTTGGATATGAAACAGCTAGAGTCAAAACTGTCCACAGAAGCAGTGGGGCATGCTAAGGGGCAGTGGGAAGCCTAGGTATCAGAGTTCAGTCTGGTCACACACAATCGTGCACAGATGATGGGGAACAGGGAGGAGCTGTGGACAGAGCACAGAGAAATATCCTACAGGGCCCAAAAGAGAACAGGCATGTGGGCAGGATTAAAGTGAGATTCAGCCTCAGGAAATACTGCTAATACATCAGGGGAAATATAACCTGAAACCCAGATCCTTGATGAGGGGGGCTGGCAGAGCCTGGGGAGAGTGGGGCTGTGATGGGACAGAGCTGCACAAAGACCACTGCACCTGAGGGCTGCGTACTCAAGAGGGTTTGTGTCCCAAAGCTGGGAGGGGATAGCTGCTCTTTGTATGGCTCTGGAAACCTCAGTCCTTGGGGTATCTTCTCACGGAGCAGGGAGGAGACACTCAGCAGGTGACATTGGTCCTGAGGGGCCCAGAGCTGACACACAGACTGGAGGAAGTGCCGGGAAGGGCAACAGGAATGAACAGGGAGTTGTGGAGAGCGATTAAAGAACGGAATTCGTCCAACTTGGCTAGTGACTGTAAGGAGGGAGAATGTGGGGATGGGGGATATCTGGAAGTGTAAACCCCAAGTGGGGGGGAGGGGGATTTTTTCAGGCTGATACATAGGGTGCAATGCGGGGTGGGGCAGGGCAGAAGGAATCTTGACTGAGTCTCAGGATGGAGACATCCTGACACTCGCTGGGGGGAGGAGCCCATTGCTCAGCTGTTGAACACTAACTGGAACAGACTGTGGAGAATGGGCTGTAGGGGTCAGTCCTTTGTGGGCCCTGGGAGAGTGACTGGCTGCTCTCCTGGGCCTTTTCCATCTTTGCTGCCTGTGGGGACATTGAGTGAGTCGGTAGGGAGGGGGTGAGGACAAGATCCATGGAGGTCTCTGATTCCCATCTGCCTTAAACACTTCAAATGGAAAATACATTAGCACTAAGCTTGGAATCTGTGCGCCCCCTGGTGGCAGCTGACATAGTGGATGCAATCTGTAGAACAGGCCCTGTGTGGAGGCCTGAACAGCTGGAATGTTGTACAGTGTGCCAGTAAAATCCCCCATGTTATATCCCCTGAGATCCCGGGGGTGTGCCTCTCACCCACACGTGGAATGCAGTTGCCTTGCCTTGCTAGGACTCACTCATGCCTCCTGACGGTTCTGAAGCTCTGTGGCACAGTTGTGCTGCCTCGTTAGGCTCTGGGGCAGTGGGGGTTGGATTTGGGGAAAGGCCACACCACTTTACACTTCTGTTTCCGGGGGAAGTGTTGGCTTTGTGGTACAGACTCGGTGCTGTGTGCCTAGCCCCACGGGTATTTGGGAATGGCCATATACTGGTCCTGAGGGCTCCTTCCCTCCCTGTTGCAGGCAGAGGTGTCGTGGATTCCCAACAAGCATTACTCTGGGATTTACGGGCTGATGAAGCTGACGCTCACTAAGGCGCTGCCCTCCAACCTCTCCAAGGTCATTGTCCTGGACACAGACATCACCTTTGCCACTGACATCGCTGAGCTGTGGGCCGTCTTCGGGAAGTTCTCCGGTGAGGGGGAGTTGTGGAGAGAAGGGGCCTTGGGACCAGTTGAGTAGCTGTACCTCTGGAAGAGGAGCCAGGCCTATTGCCCTGGCTCCTCTGAAAACCTGCGGCCCCTTGGCATTGGGTGGAGTTTAGGAGTCTGTTCTGCTTGGCTCTCCCTGTCTGTCCTCGTCAGCCACTTGTGGGTGGGGGTAGGGGGTGCATGGATTTGTGGTGGGCACATACTCCTCTGGTGAGGTGGATCTGTCTCGCTTTCCAGACAAGCAGGTGATTGGGCTGGTGGAGAACCAGAGTGACTGGTACCTGGGAAACCTCTGGAAGAACCACAAGCCATGGCCAGCGCTGGGACGTGGCTTCAACACAGGTGAGCCCAGAGCATCCACAGGTCACTCCTGTTGGGTGGGGGTCTATCCTGTCTCTGTCAGTGGTGAGGTTGGTGCAGGGCAAGACCCCCAGCATGTCTGGGGGGATGGGGCTGGGATGAGGAAGCGCCTTCTTCTGCTCATTCCTGTTAGTCTTGCTGGTAGTGAGGAGCTGTTGCTGTGACTCCCGTCCTCTTCCAGAGAAATGCTGCTGCTGTCCCCTGTGACTTGGGGAGCAAACTGCCAGCAAATCCACTGGGTTGGGGAGCAAACTGCCAGCTTGTGGGTGGCCTTGGCCACAAGGGGCTGATGGCAGGTCTCCCCAGTAGCTCTGCGTGTGCCTCTCAGTCGTGACTGGTTGCCATTCCCTGCTGTCCCAGCACAGGGCCTCTCTTACAGCCTGCCACTCTGATTTTATAATAGGGATAAGTGGTCCCAGGGAGCTGCACTGAGACCCCTTAAACTCCCGTAATGTGTCTCTCGAGTCTGAACTAGAGCCCCATGCCACACGTGCCAGCCTTGCTCCTTGGCTGCCAGTGCTGCACTGCACTCTGCTGCTTCCCCAGGGGTGGTTTCTTAGGGTCACTCAGTGGCACCCCCCAGAGGTGACTGCTCCCCTAGGCCCATCCTTTAGTGACTGAGTGTGAGTGACAGAGCTGCCCGGGCCAATCAGAAAGCTTGTGAGGTGAGAGCCCCCTCTCCCCCCACTGCCTGTACTCTGGGAATCCTATCAGAGGTGAGTTCCCAGGACTCCTCCAGCAGGAGATGCTGTTGTTGAGAGGGGTGTGGGACACAGGGATGCCATGTCCAGGCTAGCCAGTAAGTCTAGAATCCGGTCCCCGGCTGGGACACCCAGCAAAGGGCCTTGCTGTTAGAGAACTTGCTATGGGGATGGTGTCCCAGAGCATTGACCTAGTACGCTTCAGAAGGGACTGGCTGGAGCTGAGCTCAGGGATGGCTTAAGGCTGGATCAACTGCATCAAACACAGCGCTGGGTTGGCTGGTGCCTGTGTGATGTGGGGACACCTGTGACCTCTCCTCCCACTCTTCCCAGGGGTGATCCTGCTGCTGCTGGAGCGCCTGCGCCGGATTGGTTGGGAGCAGATGTGGCGGCTGACAGCGGAGCGGGAGCTCATGAGCATGCTGTCCACCTCGCTGGCAGATCAGGTATGGAGCCAAGCTGAGTTCCAGCTTGCAGGCTCTTCTTTGACCCCAGTTCCTACTCTTGGGCAAACTATAGATGCAGGAAGCTGCAGGTGGGGGAGCAAACGCTAGGGCTATGGGATGCTGCTGACACTACAGACAACAAAGGCTGTGAGTGGATGCCCTGGGACCCATGTTAGAGATCTGTAACCTTCTGCTCCATCAGCTCAGGCTTGGTCCTGACCTGCAGCATTCCTTGTATTTCAGCCCTGGACACCTCCTGAGCAGGGTCTGGTTACCATGTCCACCTGTAGGGTGGTTGTATGATATGGAGGATACAGAGATCCCTAGTCTGACCTCCCTTGTCCTCTCAGGGTTTCCCCTCCAACCCTCACGGGGGTCTCCAGAGGTGCCCAGCTCCCCATGTGCTCACTGGTGATTCTCTTCCAGGACATCTTTAATGCAGTGATTAAGCAGAGCCCAGTGCTGGTGTACAAGCTCCCCTGCTTCTGGAACGTGCAGCTGTCCGACCATACCCTCTCAGAGCAGTGTTACTCAGAGGTCTCTGATCTTAAGGTGGGTCTCCCGGTCCCTGGCTGGGGCCTTTCCACATTCCCAGGAGCTGCACTGGGCCCAGGAGTCTCGCATCTCCACTGCTGCAGGCACTGAACCCTCCTGACCTGGAGGATGGGGTGTTGGGTCCTGTGGTGCAGCTTGCACCCCAGTCCTGGTGGGTGGCTGGTGGTAGATCCAAAGGGCTGGGGGGGGGAATACTGTGTCCCTGACGCTCCAGCCCATCTTTTTCAGGTGATCCACTGGAACTCGCCCAAGAAGCTGCGGGTGAAAAACAAGCATGTGGAGTTCTTCCGGAACCTCTACCTGACCTTCCTGGAGTACGATGGGAACCTGCTGCGCAGGGAGCTCTTCGGTTGTGCCAGCCTGCCCAGCCCACCCAGAAACCAAGTGAGCCCTTGCTGGTTGCTAGCCGCACCCCTGATCCTCACTTGCCCTTATCATGTGGGAATGGGACATGGGACATTCCGTCCCCCAAGCAGGCTCCATCCATGCCATCTCCTGGGACTCTGCCAGGGCTCCGCCCAGTCTAGTTGAAAGCATCCCATGTGTTCCAGCTGCAGCGCCTGCCTGCCCCCGCCTCACCCCTGCCCCTGCGTGTTTTCTAACACCAGTCTGGCCCCTGCCCCACTTCATTCTTATGTTCTAGCTGCAGCAGGCCCTGGAGGATCTCGATGAGGATGACCCCTGCTATGATTTCCGCCGGCAGCACCTTATGCTGCACCGCATCCACCTGTTCTTCCTGCAGTATGAGGTCCTGGCCTCACCTGACCCTGCTGATGTCACCCTGGTGGCCCAGCTCTCCATGGACAGGTACTTGGCAGGGACTGGGATGGACGAAGGGGTGACTCCCACTTCTGAGTACTGAGGAGCTGTGGGCTCTGTAAGCTGGTTCATCAGCCCTGGAACTTCTGTACGCGGAACTTTCAAACTGATCCAAGGTTAGCTCTGCACTGATAGAAACATTACTTCTTCAGGGGGTGCAGGAGACTGTCCTTGTAGAGACGGGGGCTCAAATGGGAGTCGTGCCACAAATGAAATGTTTGTATTTTGACTCTGGGATTGCAAAATCACACTTCACCTCAGAATCATGCCCCCAAACCTGAACCTTATATTAAAAAAAAAAAAAGTTTCTAGCCCTCCTGGCTGCAAAGAAAACCTTGTAACTACAAACCTAGTGTACCTGATGCAGCAGCATCTGCCTGAGTTTGCAGTGAGCCTGAAACACCAGTTGCAAGAGGTATGAACTGCTCCTTCATCTTAGTGGGGTGTTAACTGTGAAACCTAAATATGAAATTACCAGGGTTAACAGTGTTAATTATTTAATTGCTGAACATAGTAGCACAAATAGGCAATGAATGTGCTTATCCCACAATTCCAGACTCCCTCCCCACATGCCCAAAGCCCTATAAATAGCCGTTTAACTCTCCAACTCCCCTGATTTCTGTAGTGCAGTTACATGCTAACACACACACATACACACCTGTGGCATGTCAAAACCAAAAAGGCGGAGAGGGTAAAATAAATTGAATTCAATATTAAAACAACCACCGCAAGGGACTGTTGCATTCTTGGGATGAGTCATTTTCATGCTTAATTAAATAAAAACCTGCACTCTGGAACGTGCCTGGAGCTGCCACAGAATTCCCAGCATTTCCAGCAAAGGCCACAGAATGTAAGGAACTTGCTACAGAATCCAGGTTGTTTGCTGTGGAGTATGCGGCAGGGCCTTGGATGTTATATTCTGTGGTAGCTTGTTGAGGGGAGGATAAAAAGGGGGTCAGCGGCAGTAGGGCAAGATGAGTGGCATCAGCATTGCAGAGTGGGAGGCTTGCTCAGTCTCTTCTGCTTGGCTGTGTCCACTGCTCTTTCCTGCCTGCTCAGTTAGCTGGAGCTCTCCCCATGTGTTTGGCTCTGGCACGGCCACTCTCATGCTGTTTCCCTTCGGCTTACAGGTTACAGATGCTGGAGGCAATCTGCAAACACTGGGCAGGCCCCATCAGCCTGGCGCTGTACATGTCGGATGCAGAGGCCCAGCAGTTCCTGCGCTATGCCCAGGGCTCGGAGGTGTTGAGCAGCCGCAGGAACGTTGCCTACCACATTGTGTACAAGGAGGGGCAGTTCTACCCTGTCAACCTGCTGCGCAACGTTGCGCTGACCAATGCACAGACACCCTATGTCTTCCTGACGGACATCGACTTCCTGCCCATGTATGGTCTCTACGATTACCTCAGGTGTGGCCCTCTCCATCCTGCCCAAGCTAGTCATTCACCCCGAGGGGCCCAGGTGGGATGGTTCCCTCCAGGTTGTTACCCAAGGTTCAGTCTAGTTCAACTGTGTCCCAAACGATGGGGCTCCCAGCCCTTCCCTCAGGAGGTGATTCCCCAGCCTGGGAGCTCTCGCTGTCAGGAAGTTTCTCATTCTGTAGGCACAGGCTGGGCTTGAGCCCTCTGGGAGGGTCCTGCTGTCACATGGGAGAGAGAACCCTTGCTTGGGGAAGGAGATGCCCCTTCTGCACCACTGGTGCATGGGGGTGCTGCATCCTTTCCCTGCATGGGGGTGCTGCATCCTTTCCCTGCATGGTGGATCCCAAGGGCCTTTAGACTCTCCCCCCCACCAACCTCACACTAAGAAAAGACAGGATCCTCTAGAGCCTGCTGATGCCCTTCCAGCGTCTGCTAAGGGGGCCCAGGAACACAGCTGTGCGTAGGGCTCTTAGCGCCTAGTGGGTGGCCAGTGGTGTGCGTTGCAGTCACCTCGTGCTGGCTCCACGCCATCTAGCGAGGCCTCATGCTCTCCCCTGCCCTGCTCCAGGAACTCCATCCGGCAGCTGGAGCTGCCCCAGCGGAAGGCAGCGCTCATTGTGCCAGCATTTGAGACTCTGCGCTACCGTCTTGCCTTCCCCAAGTCCAAAGCGGAGCTGCTCTCCATGCTGGACATAGGCTCCCTCTACACCTTCAGGTAGGTGCTGGAGCCACTCCCCTCCACGCCGCAGGGCACAGGCAGCAGGAGGCTCTCTGGTCCCTCCCCATTCCTAGGGGCTGTGGTGCAGCCCAGACCCAAGCACCTCTCATGTCGTCCCCCATCCTCTCAGTCTGTGCCTGTATCTCTGTTCTGAAGCTGCTGCCCTACAGGTAGTGAGAAGAGTGTGCATCTCCCTGTAACCCCAGGGTTCACTGCGCCGCTGGCCTCCCTTTGCAATTTGTCTCTGGGACCTCTATGTGTCACATCTATCGGGTGCTTCATTTCTGTCTGTCTCTGAAGGTACCATGTGTGGCCAAAGGGCCATGCTCCAACTGACTATGCCAAGTGGCGGACAGCTACGGTGCCGTACCGTGTGGAGTGGCAGCCGGACTTTGAGCCTTACGTTGTAGTGAGGCGTGACTGCCCCCAGTATGACCAGAGATTCGTAGGCTTTGGTTGGAATAAGGTGTCCCATATCATGGAGCTTGATGCCCAGGTGAGTGAGGAGCCAGTGGAATTTCCTGCGCCCAGACTCTGCTTTGTCCCTAGGGATCCTATACTGCTGCCTTGGGCAGGTGCCTTCTGGGTCCCTCCCAGCACAATGCTTCCTTTGGACTAAGCTTTGCTGCCCCTGAGCAGGTGATCTGGCCCCCATGGGTGTGGTCAGAGCCCTGCTCTGTGCCTGCTTGCTGACCTCCTGCTTCTTCCCAGGAGTATGAGCTGCTGGTCCTGCCCAATGCCTTCATGATCCACATGCCTCACGCCCCCAGCTTTGACATCTCCAAGTTCCGCTTGAGCGCTGGCTACCGGGGCTGCTTGCAGACACTGCGGGAGGAGTTCCACCAGGACCTGTCGCGTAGGTATGGCGCCGCCGCACTCAAATACCTCACTGCCGAGAGGAGCCTGTGATACTGAGGGACAGCATGGCGGTGGACTGGAGGGGGAAGGGGACAGACCACTTCCTTCCTACATGGCTCACTGCCTGAAAGGGATCAAACCTGCAGCACAGTTTCTCCATCACAGGAACATTAGCTCCCACTAGGGATGGAAAGAATCAAGAGAAAGGGGCTCTTAAACTGCTCCTAAGTGGCTGAGGGAGCAGAGCCTCAGGGCTGAGGGTCTCCTCACAGCAGCTGAAAGCCTCACCCAGAGACAGGACAACATTGCTAATCTCCCAGCAAGGGGGCTACCTGGAGCCTATTTCCCACTTCAAGGGCCATGGTGGGATTGGTCCCTATCGTTCAGTTTCCAGAGCTTTGGCCAGTGTGAATGACCCCAGTGATGGGGCTCCCAGGCAGTCCCCTGGGGCACTTGCCAGAAAGCTTTACCTGATGTTCTGCAAGATGCTCCCTTGCTTGGTTTCATCAGCTCCTTCCCTTTGCACCCTCTGGGCTTTGCCTCCTTCAGAGCCCTGCAGTTATTGCTGTCAGGTGTAGCTTAGCCCTGCAAGACAGGCTGAACTTAATTCTTAATTTCTTCTGATGAACCTCTTCTTCCCCTTCTCTCCTCCCCCCCCCCCCCCCCCCGTTGTGATTACTTGTCTGAACTCCTTCCCTGTCCTAGATGGGACTGAAGCACCCCCATGTTTCCCCAAGGGGACGGTGGCTTGCAGAATTGGTCTCTTAGGGCATGCCTACACTGCTGTGAAACGCACAGCTGGAGCGGGGTGCAGGGCTATAAAATTGCAGTGTAGATGTTGGGGCTCAGGCTGGAGCTGAGGCTCTGTGACCCTTCCTGCTTGTTTGCAGGTGGCTGTATGTGCACAAGTGTGCCCATCTTTTGCTGGCTGAGGGTCTGTACACAACACCTGCCAGCTAAGATCGCTGCATAGGCACTGCCTCAGGCCAGCCTATACCACTAACCTTCATGGCCATCTTCCCACGGAGGAGGGGAAGTCCTGTCCCTCTTCCCCACGCTGTCTGGATGGGATCTCAGGCTGCTGCCGCTTGGTGTCACATCTCCGGATTCTCCCGCACGTGGCTAGTGAGGGTTGGTGCTGGGGGTCTGAGGCCCTGGTCAGCTGCTGGGGCTAACAGCAGGTTTGGTTCTGGTCTGTGCCTTGGAGCTGAGCCAGTATTGGATGTATTGCCAAATTGTGGTGCCTGTTGTAATAAAACCATCCAGTCCCTGCCACTCTGGGAGTAGGTAAAATTGTCCCCTGGTAGCCACCACCTGCTCGGAGAAACCTCTCTGGGGGTCACTTCCAAGTCTCAGAAGGAAAGAGCCTGAATCTCAGTAATACTGACATTGACAATCAGGTACACAGTTGACATTGTAGCTGGGTGCCATGGTCGGAGCATGTGCTGGGAGCAGCTTCGGCCAGGTGCTTTTCCACAGTCATCACACACTGGAGCACAGAGGCACAGTTGCTTTCCTCACTCTCTATTTAAGTTATTTAAGCTGATTTCTCACAGGGTGTAAATGATTAGGAGGGCCTGGGGTTTTTAGCCTTTCTCTTACTTCAGAACCATCAGCAAGGATCTTCAGGCCCATCATTGCTCGACTCTGTTCTTCACTTACTGGCATTAATCTGAACCGCAAGAGCCGCTACCGTGCTGGGAACTCTTTGTATGGAAAGGGCACAAGTGTCTCCGGTAATTTTTAATTAAAGCTTTTTTTTTAATTCTTTTTCAAATCCCTGGGGAGCCATGTGGTTATTTTGTCACGTTCTGTCTGATGCTGGGGTTGGGGCAGGGCTTATAGGCAGGTAGGAAATGAGGGTAAGGTCACTTCCCCAGGAGAGAGGGTTGTGTGAGGAGCTGATACTGCATCACAAGCTTGTGGAGGGATGACAACTACAGTGTGTACAGAATGGGGATTTAAAGGGTTGGGGACAGCAGTGACAACAAGCTGTAGAAATGTCAGCTCCACTAAGCAAGAGAGAACTCATCCCCTACCCAGATGAGAATGGACCCTCTGGCATTTATTAACACCAGGAAGATCAGTTCATTGTCTATCAAAGTGTTGTGGTGGTGGGTGGCTGCTGTTATGCTTTGGCTGAAAGAGCAGTTGTGCTCTCAAAGTGACTGTACGAAGGGCATTGCAGGATTCCATGAGGGTTGGCACTTGCTAACTTAAGGTCAAGCAGCTAAAAAGATGTATTGTTTTTTTCTGCCAGTGCTGCAAGTGCCTTCCCCGCCCCCCCCACCCCCCCAGCTCTAACAGTCAAGCTGGGCTCTTTCCATCTCACACGTCATCCCCTTAAACAAACAAACATGCTACAGGGCAAATTCTGCCCTCAGTGTCACTTCTGTAGCCCTGTTGCCTTCCACAAGTGCAACCAATCAGCACCTAGTACCCAGTTCTATTGATGGTGCACAAGAGGAACTGGAGTGCAGTTCTGTGTGCTGAGCTGGTGCTATGGGGCTAACAGCACTAAGACCATGTTTTAGTCCCTACAGGCAGCAGCTGTGACATTCAGAGGGAGCTCTGAGGGGTAAGAGAGGCCCATTTGTACAGTTATATCAGACCAAACCCACACTCTGAATTGTGAATTGGCTGGGAAGCTTTTCCTGTACTATTATTAACAAGAGTTCCTTCTTCCTGGCATCCTCACAACAAAAGTTGAGACCAGCAGTAACCACCTGCCCGTAGCAGCATGTGCCTAGACTTAGAGCATAACTAAAATCAAGCTAATCTTGTTACCTAGCATCTGTGCTAGGAGAAATGGTCATCTAGCGCATGTTAGCTAAGCCTACCTATACTCGACCACTTTTCTTAGGCCAGGTCTAGACTAGAAATTTTTGCTGGTATAATAAGCCCTGCTACAGGTGGGAGTGCTTTGGGGACATTTCTCTAGCCCCAAAAGCCCTAGTCAAGATGCAGTTTTATCCTAGCTTAAAAAGGATAGCTTATTTTGTTTGGGGAGGTGATTTAACTATACCGCCAGAAACACTTTTGCCAGTATAAGCTATGTCTACGTTAAGAGGGTTTGCCACTACGGTTGTACCAGGAAATCTTTTCTAGTACAGACCTGGCCTTAGTCAAGTCAAGTCAAGCCCTACGCTGTGGCCACTGCTTTGAAAAAAGACTTAAGAGCCACTCACCCAAAGTAAAATTGGGCCCAGGCTGAGTCCCCAGCCCTCCTTCTGGGCGTGTGATCTTGAGGGAACCGCTGACAAGTGCAGTGAACGTCCTGCACCATCGAAGCAGCCGGAGTTATGGCCTGTGTTTTCACCCCGAACACAAATGTAATGAACAAAACTGCAGCTTTGGGGCATAAGGGGGAGCGAGTGACAGCAGAAATGAGTTCTGGCTGCAGAGGCTTAGTGGCCCTTTTGTCATGTGAAAATAGAGCTGTTTGACAAAGCTCCACTTTCAACCTCTACCTGAACATGTTCATCCACTGATGGAAGTGAGGCCTGAGCTCTGTCTCACTTTCTTGGGAGCTGTTACAGTAGAAAGCTCTTCCAGGCCCAGGTGCCCCGTGTAGTGATGGGAAATGCTTCCCTCACCTGGTAAACATGGCTACAGAGACAAGAGATTTTATTGTGTTTTATTTAGTAAAATGTTAAAATAAATAAATACAAATTGATCAGATGCTCTGTATCCCTCTTCCCCTCCCTCCCCTCACTTTAATTTGCTAAAATCTAAACACAGTTGTACCAAAACTGAAACCACAAGGGACTTGAAGGCTACAGAGAGAAGGCAGCAAAGAGACTGCAATTCACTATTAGCATCAGGCTAAAAAAAATAGAGATATTTAAAAAAACCAAACCAGCTCACGAGTCAGTATTATTCTCATTATGCAATTCTGTGAAAACAAAGTGGTACCATTCAAAAAAGGGTATTTTACACCAAGGCCTGCAATGATATGGGATTCTCAGAAATGGGAGGGAACACGAGACGCTGGGGTTGTCTGGCACGAATGACAAATGAGACAGAGGTGAGGAGAGGTTGGATGGTATTTGGATATTAAGGTTCTTCGTTCCTGTTCATGACTAAATATGTCACATATGGCTGTGGAAATCTATTCAACGAAAGACAAAACCTGCTACTTTTCCTGGTAGTGCCCTGGAGCACCAAGGAAGTGCTGCTGCTCTTTTACATGCACTTGCACTGAAGGTGCTAGTTTCAAGTGTAACCACTCAATCCTGCTACAGGTATATGCCTTATTACTGAAATGAAGGACCCCTCAAAAACAGCTGCTTTCCTGTTTCTTTATCTAGAACCCAGTGCCCAAATTATTATTAGCCTCTTTGAGTTTTTCCCCTTCTACAGCGACTTGGAATTAGCTCACAGGTAGGTGTAACATAGCCAGGGGCTGAAGGCACAGGCAGGGAGTGTGGGATCTATTACTAAAGAGCATTTCAAGAAAGTCAGGTGAGTGGGAGAGGATAAGATGGCTCAGGTGACTGGAACTAAGATACGGTGACTTTCACTTCTAGCTCAATGGCCTCAATATGAACCATGACAATTTTAAAGCTGGTCAGGGCCCATAGGTGAAATGAGTTATTGGGTCTCACTGCAGCTCCTAGTGGACCAGTGTCTACATCACCAAGTCCATCACGTCGTCATTGGCACTAATTTTACCTTTCATTAGCATATGCAGCCAAGGTCAAGGACTGATTTGACCCCAGAAATAGTGTTTACACCTGGTCCCTGTCTGTAAAGAAGCGTGTTTAAACATGATGTTAATCCCTCAGCCATGGTGCTCCTTCATAACCCACTGTACTGCTTAGCTTGGCCTAGTCCTTTTCCAAAGGGCTGGATTCTCTGCCTGTGTCCTCCTCTGCAGTCACTGTACAACTAGCACTCAGCCACTCCTTCCTTTCACACCAGGGCTAAACCCCTCACCATCGACAATGACAGGTTTAATTTATTCCTTTAATTTTTGCAGTGAGATTAACTATCCTGTGTGAGGTATCTCACTGTAAAATCTTAAGTGGAGACAAGGCACTTGTAGCATTTATGGTGAGGTAAACTAGGCGAGATCAACCCTATACTCCCACCCGTAACTGACTCTGCCTAGGTTACCTCCCTGTAAAGCTACAGGTGCCTTGTCTTCCCTAGTTTTTTCCAGCATGATAACACACACATATTAGTTAGCCCATGGTAAAAACATTTTTTGTCAGTGAAGCTATAGCCTGAATGTGGGAGCTCAGAGCAGAATCTCCAGTAGTGTATGGCTGGATGGGGCTGGTGGGTTCCGGCTGGGAAGCTGGCATTGTTCTTAGGAGATTATTTTTAAATTGCCCTAAGGAGCCCTGCCTGCCTGTCATGGGTGGTATAGGGAGTGACCCAGAGGCAAAGTAAATTTTGAAAGGGAAAGGTCCATGTTAAATTCTGCTCCAAGCCTGAGAGTCAGTCAACTACTTTCAACACAATGATAATTAAAATGAGGAAACATGTTTCAGAATTACAGACTAGCAAGCAATAACATGCAGACTTCTGCTCTGTTCATCTATTACTGTTATATACCCATTCGCTCAGTGTTGTCAGTTCCTGGTGACCAAAGAATGAGAAAAACAACACTTGGCCCTTATACAGCAAGTGTAGAATTACCACCCCATTACTATT